GAACATCGATGAGAGAGAATCATTGATTGGCTGCCTCCTGCATGCCTCACACTGGGGATCTAGCCCACAACCCAGGCATGTGCACTTGCCTGGAATTGAACCCAGGACCCTCTAATTCGCAGGCTGACGCTCTATCCACTGAGCCAAATAAGCTAGGGCTAAAAGCACTGTTTCAATAGCTTTTGGTTGCTCATAGAATAAGACCCCTTCTTCTTTACCATGTCAATAAAGCCCTATGTAATCTGGCTCCCACCTACCTCTTCTACCTCATATCCTACCCCTCTTGGCCTCAGCTCACTATGCTCCAGACACACTGGCCTTCCTACAGTTCCTAAGTATACCAATCCCCAGGGCCTTCCCACTTGCTTTGTCCTCTGCCTGCAACACTCTTGCCTCCACTCATCATCTGCTAACTCCCACTCCTTCGTGTCTCAGCTTAACTATCTCTTTCCTATCACCTTGTTCTGTCCCTTTATAGCCTTACCAGAGGCCGGCGCACGAAATTTGTGCACGGGTATGGTCCCTAGGGCTGGCCTGCGATCAGGGCCATCTTGCCCAGCTGCTGGCAGCTGGCCCTGCCCCCTGCCACCACCCCCCTTCCCTGTTCACCATGGGGCAATTGGAGCCTGCCAGCCAGGGGAGGGACTGAGATGTTGGCCATTCCCACCCACTCACCAGCCCTTCCCCTGACACCAGTTGCCCTCTGTGTGTGGGGCAACCAGCAGGGCGGGGTCCTTCTGCCACCACCCACCCCTGGTTCCCCGTTCCTCATTGGGCAATCAGAGCCTGCCCTCCAGGGGAAGGGGCTGAGAGGTTGGCCAGGAGGCTTCAATCGGGCAATTGGGGCCTGCAGGCTGGGGGCAGATCCTGCATTGAACATGTGCCCCATGATGGTCAGTACATGTCATAGCGATTGGTCATTCTGCCGTTCAGTCAATTTGCATATTACCCTTTTATTATATAGGATCACAATTGGTAATTATGCATGTTTATGTGTTATCACTATGTGTGTTTACTTCATGGTCCCTCCAGCACCAGACTGTAAAATGCAAGGGCCAAGTTTGTTCACCACAGTCTTTTTTTAAAATATATTTTTATTGTTTTCAGAGAGGAAGGGAGAGGGAGAAGAAGACAGAAACATCTATGATGAGAGAGAATCTCTGAGCCCACAACCCGGGCACATGCCCCTGACCTGAATCGAACCTGGGACCCCGATGCTCTATCCATTGAGCCAAACCTGCCAGGGCTTACCAGAGCCTTTTAAAATTTTATTTTATTTATTGATTTTAGAGAGAGATGAAGGGAGAGAGAGAGAGACATCAATTTGTTGTCCCACTTATTTATACATTCATTGGTTGATTCTTGCATGTGCCCTGACCAAGGATCGAACCCACAACCTTGTATTGGGACGATGCTCCTATCAAATGAGCTATCCATCTGGCCAGGGCTATTCACCACAGTCTTATTCATGTCTGTCTTATTCACTACCGTGTAACTAGCACTACACATGGTTCCTGGCCCATACTGTGTGCTCAAAAGACACTCATAAAATGTGTGGTGCCCAGTCAAACATGACTCAGTGGTTCAGCATTGACCTATGAACCAGGAGATCATGGTTCAATTCCCGCTCAGGCCACATGGCTGGGTTGCGGGCTTGATCCCCAGTGTGGGGCGTGCAAGAGGCAGACTATCAGTGATTCTTTCTCATCATTGATGTTTCTCTCTCTCTCCCTCCCTCTCCCTTCCTCTCTGAAATCAATACAAAGATATTTTTAAAAATGAGTGGAGATCTGAAGAACAAATGAAGTGAGATGTGGAGAGAGTTTCACGCAGAGGCAACAGCATACACAAAGACCCAGAGGCTAGGGAGACTAAGTCAGTCTGAGAATTTTAGCTTGCACTTGCTTGGAGTCTAGACAGCCTGGCAAGGGCCAGACCATGCAGGGCGCAGCTTAACCTTCCCTGTTGTGGAAGGTAACTTTCCTTTTGAGTCAAAGGGGATCATTGAAAGGTTCTCAACATCAAAGTGATATGATTTGGTTTAACTTTTCAAAATATCAACTGCCTACAGTGTAGAGAATAGATTGCAGGCAACAGGCATGCAATGGGAAGGCAGGGACAGCATTGCAGGTTAGAAATGATGCTGGCCTAGCCTCGGGAAGTGGCAGCAGAAATGAAGAGAACTATGGAAATAAATTTGGGAGATATTCAGGAGGTTAAAATGATGAGACTTGCCATCGCCAGTTTGGCTCAGTGCATAGAGAATTGGCCTGTGGACTGAAGGGTCCCGGGTTCCATTCCCGTCAAGGGCACCTACCTCAGTTGCAGAATCCATCCCTGGCCCAGGTCCCAGTCCAGGTGTGTGCGGAAGGCAACCAATCGATGTTTCTCTCTCTGTCTCTCCCCCTCCCTTACACACTCTCTAAAAATCAATGGAAAAGATATCCTCAGGGAGGATTTAAAAGAAAAGGTGGGACTTGGTGATTGCAGCAGATGGAGCAGAGAGAAGAATCAGGAGTATAGCTCAGGTTTTTGCTTTGACTGGGATCAGTCACTAAGGCAAAATACAAAGGACAAAGGTTGGGAAGAGAATGCGTTAAGTTGGGGAGAAACTAAGGTTTGGGGTGTCTCTGAGGTATCAGGTAGAGCTGTCTAGTAACTAGTTGAATGCATAGGTCAAGAGAAATATCTGAGACAAATATCACATGATCTCACTTATTTGTGGAATCTAATGAACAAAAGGAATTGACCAACAAAATAAGACCCAAAGCAGGGAGGTATAGGACAGACTGACATACCTCAATGTGGGTTTGGGAGAACAAGAAGAGATAAACCAAAGAACTTCTATACATAGCCCATGGACACCAGCAATTGGGTGGTGAAGACCTGGGGTGGGGAGAGGCTGGGAGCAGGGGAGGGGAGGGGAAGAAAATGGGAGATATCTGTAATATTATCGACAATAAAAACATTTCTTTTTAAAAAAAGAGAAATATCTGGCCCTAACTGGTTTGGCTCAGTGGATAAAGCGTTGACCTGCGGACTGAAGGGTCCCAGGTTCGATTCCAGTCAAGGGCATGTACCTTGGTTGCGAGCACATCCCCAGTAGTGGCTGTGTAGGAGGCATCTGATTGATGTTTCTAACTCTATTCCTCTCCCTTCTTCTCTGTAAAAAAATAAAATATATATTTTTAAAAATAACTATCACTGGGTATTGATAGAAAAAATGAGTTAAAAAAAAAGAAAGATCTGCACTTGGGGCATCAATTTGGGAGTCATCTACAAAGAGATGATCATTGAAGCCATGGGAGCCGATGTGAAAGAAGACAAGAGCGCTCAAGCCAAAGCCCTAAAGAGCACCATCATTTCAAGGGTAGACGAAGAAGATCCTAGAAAGTAAAAAGGAATTACAAAAAAGTAGGAGAAAAAATGAGACTGTGGTGTCATGGAAGTGGCTTAAGGAGGAGGGAGTGGTCACCAGGGTCAAATGCTACCAAAAAGTCAAGTAGGATTACCTCTGAAAAGATTGTTGGGACCCAGCGGGTGTGTCTCAGTGGTTGAGCGTTGACCTATGAACCAGGAGGTCATGGTTCGATTCCTGGTCAGGGCACATGCCTGGGTTGTGGGCTCGATCCCCAGTGTGGGTCATGCAGGAGGCAGCCGATCCATGATTCTCTCTCATCATTGATGTTTCTATCTCTCTCTCTCCCCCTCTCCCTTCCTCTCTGAAATCAATAAAGATACATATTTTTAAAAAGATTCTGTTGGGTTTAGTGACACAGGCCACACAGACCTTGATGAGAGAGCAGTATCAGGCAAGTCGTGGAGGCAGATTGGAGTGGGTTGAAAGATAAGTGGGAAGTGGGAAAATTAAGACAGTTAAGTGTAGGCGACTCTTGAGAAGTTTATAGAGAAGAGAGGGAGGTTGTTGGAGAGGGAGACTTTGTGGTAATTTATTTGTTTTGAGAAGGAAGAGACCTGGGTATGTTTAGATGCTGATGGGAAGGAGCAAGGGACAGACTCGGTAGGTTTGGTGGCAAAAAGTCAAAAACCTTTTTGGTGACTCTGCGAAGAAGGAGGGGTGGTCATCTGCTGAGAGTCAGGGGGCTGATGAAGAACTTGGTGTGTGAGGAGGGGAGGTTTGAAATGGCTGCTATAGAAAGGGAGGGAGAGCTGCCTAGGGGCACAGAGTTGTAGGTCAGCACTGAGGGCCCAGTGGAAGCTAGGGACCAAGAGTTTATAGTGGCACAAATTTATGAGGTTGGCTGCTTTTCTCCAGCAGTGTTTAGCTGCTTGGACTGACCCAAGGTTGGGATGTTGCCAGGCGTATGCGACAATCCTGGGAACTGAGGCTATTGGCAAGAAAGGGGCGAAGTAATCGACCATGAGGTCCGGTCCTCCAAGCAGAGTGAAGAGTATCAAAGACAAGCCCTCTAGGAGCCAAGCCATAGGGAAACTCTGGAACATGTGGCAAAGCTTCTGGAAAAGACATTGAAGGACAAGTGGAGGGGAGGAAGACCTGAGATGGGACAGAAAGGCAGATTTGGGGGTTGAGCCAGGAGACTTGCCTGTGTGGGACCAGGAGCGGATGGGGAAGACAGGCAGAGGGGGAATTTTCAAGGGGGGGGAGGAACTTGGAGGCGGTCTCTGCGAGAAGTGAGGCGGCCCCCAGTGAGGGGGCGTGGCCAAGAGCCAATCCCAGCGAGGGGGCGGGGCCCGGGTAACTGGGTCCCAGCGCCGCTGTGCCTGCGGCTGCCTCAGACGCTGCTCCCGCCTCCCCACCCCCCTTCCCCGGGCTCCTTCCCGCCCGCCGCCGCGGAGACCCAGGTCGAGGCTGGGGAGGACGGTGGAGCCAGGCCCTGGCCTCTCCCCTGCCCCCGCGGCTGGAGCATCTTCCGGACGGATTGGCCGAGGGCGAGCCCCGCAGCCTGAACGCGAGGCGCACACGCGCGCCCCCCGCCTCCGCCGTCCTCCCCCCCTCCCTCCCTCCCCCTGCCCGCCCCTCCGCCCCCCAGCCTCCGCTGCGGCGGGAGGAAGAACCCTCTCCGACCAGCCAGGGGAGCCCAGATCGATTCCCATTCGGGGAGAAAGAAGAGACCCCGCTCTCCAACCAGCCCGACTCGCCCCGGGGCCTCGGAAGTGGCTCGCCGCCTGCGGGGGAGCCCGCGCCCCGCGCAGCCCCGACCCTCGCCCGGCCGCTGCCGCATAGACAGCGCTCCCCCGAGGGCCCCCGGCCCCGCCGAGCCCACTCCCAGCGCGGGGCCCGGGCCGGCGATGCCAGGCACGGCAGCGGCGGTGGCCGCGGCTGCTGCTGGTACTGCCACCGCTGCCACGGCCGCTGGCCCGGGCCCGGGCTGGGGACTCGAGGCTCCGCAGTGGGGCTGAACCCGCAGCCCCGCCCCCCGAGCCTGAAGCCGCTGCTTTGCCGGGCGCCGGGCCTCCTCAGCCCGCGCCTCCACCCCAGGAGCTGGAGCCAAGCGGGGAGCCCGGGCCCCGCGCCCAGGCCCGGACCATGCACGGCCACCGAGCCCTGGGGGGCGCCGGGCCTTCTGAGCCCGAACACCCGGCCGTGAACCCCCCCGGCGCCGCTCCACCGGCCTGTGCCGACTCGGACCCCGGAGTCTCGGAGCCTGGACCGCCGGTGCTCAGGGACTCGGGCTTGGCTCTCGGCGGAGCCCTGGAGCCCCCGTTTGCCGGACCCTCGGACGCTGGCCTCGGCGCGACTCCAGGCCCCCGGGTCTTGCCCTGCGGCCCCAGCCCGCAGCACCACCGGGCCCTGCGCTTCTCCTACCACCTGGAGGGCTCGCAGCCCCGGCCTGGTGAGTGATCGAGAGAGCATGGGAGCCCGGCCGCGGGCCTGGTGCTGGGAGGGGGTTCTCGTTCTCGGGCTCTCCAAGCTCCACCTCGGGGCCGGCCCGCTCACCCTAAGCCCTTGGAGTCTTCTCAACCTCCAACCCCTTCCCTCCCTCCTAGGCCTTCATCCAGTCCTTTCAACCTCTGTCTCCAGCCTTTTCTCTGGCCCCTGCGCCCCCTCAACCCCTCCGACTCCCTTCTATTTTATCTGATGAAGCTAATGGGAGAGGGAGCACACCAAGAAAAAGGGGCAGGATGGCAAGGCAGTAAGGGGGGTTTGGTTGGGGAACCGGGGTTTGGGGGAACAGGAGAAAAGGAGTCTCCCATTTGCCAAGCGCCTACATTGTGCCAGGCACCGGGCTGGGTGCTTTACATGGATTCGCATTTCATCTTCAGGAGCCTCCTGTGAAGTAAGTATCATTAGCCCCATTTCGTAGGCGAGGCTCAGAGGAGTTTAAGTAACTTGCCCAAGGTCACACAGCTAGTACGGGGCCAGGATTCCAAACCAGATCTATTTGAGTCCAAAGTCTGTGCTCTTTCTGCTTCCCCCAAACTGAGGTTGGAGACCATGTAAGTAATGCCAAGCCTTCTGCTTATGTGATTTTCTTCTGTACTGTTAGCAGCTCTGGAGTATGAGTGGAAAAAAAAAAAAAGGATGGCGGATTGATCCAAGGTTGGGGTTTTGCCAGGTGTGTGTGGCGGGAGGACAAGGGAAGGAGGGAATGGAAGGTGCTGATGAGAGAGAAAGGTGGACAAGGTGAGCCTGGGGGTCGGGCTGGAGGGGCTGGTGGGTAGGGAAACAGCAGAAAGGTAAGGGCAGGAATAAGCCAGTTGCACCCAGCTGGAGAGCTGCAAGGCTCCAAGGTTGTTTGTGAGGAGAAATCAGGATGCTTGAACTTGGATTTTCGGCAGTGGAGCAGCTCTTGGGTAGGTCACAGACCACTGCCTGGGGACGCCTTTGCACTGCCCAGAACTCAGTGTCTGAGGAGTCCAGCAGGGCCTCCCCATCTGGGAACATCCCCGTAGGAACCTGAGTTTCCAGGCTCCACAGGTCTCTGGGATTGCAGCACCAGGTAGCAGTAGCGAAGCATCAAAACCCAGGCAAGAGCCCTAGGCGATTTGGCTCAGTGCATAGAGCAACGGTTCTCAACCTGTGGGTCGAGACCCCTTTGGAGGTCGAACGACCCTTTCACAGGGGTCTCCTAAGACCATCGGAAAACACATATATAATTACATATTGTTTTTGTGATTAATCACTATGCTTTAATTATGTTCAATGTGTAACAATGAAAATACATCCTGCATATCAGATATTTACATTACAATTCATAACAGTAGCAAAATTACAGTTAGGAAGTAGCAACGAAAATAATTTTATGGTTGGGGGTCACCACAACATGAGGAACTGTATGAAAGGGTCACGGCATTAGGAAGGTTGAGAACCACTGGCCTAGAGGATCAGTCTGTGGTTGAAGGGTCCCAGGTTCAATTCCTGTCAAGGGCATGTACCTCGCTCGGTTGCAGGCTCCTTCCTGGCCCGGGTCCTTCAGGGCGCATGCAGAAGGCAACCGCAACAGTTGATGTGTTTCTCTCACATTGATGTTTCTCTGTCTTTCCCTCTCTCTCCACTCTCTAAAATCTGTGGAAAAATATCCTCGGGTGAGGATTTAAAAAAACAAACAAAAAACCCCAGGCAAGTTGGATTCCTTGCTACTGTTATGACCTTGGGCTAGTCATGGAACCTCTGGTATTTTTCAGGGGCTCCCTGGGTGTGGGCTAGAGATATCCAGCTGACAATGGCCTTTAACCCCCTTCCCTACATGTGGCTCCTGCCACTTTCCAAACTCCCCCGATACACTGGGTGGAGCAGGCTACTCACCCACTTTACTGCAGCGCCTTCTTTCCAATCCCAAAACGTGCCACAAGCACTCCCACCTCAGGACCTTTGCATCTGCTTTTCCCTCTGCCTGGCAGCTCTTACCCCTGCTTTCCACCTGGCTTGTTCCTCATCTTTCAGGTCTCAGCTCAGATGTCACCTCCTCCGAGAGACCTTCCCTGACCACTTAAGTAGGGGCACTTGTGAGTCTCCATTGCCGTTGCCAGCGCACTCCCGTCCCTGTACTCAGTACAGTCCGCGGTGATCTCATTGTACTACTTGTTTATTGTCCATCTTCCTCCACTAGAATGTGAGCTCCGTGAGGGCAAGGGGATCGGATCTATTTTGTTCACACTTGTAGCCCCAAGACTAGTGCAGTGCCTGGCACACAGTAGGCGCTCAATAAATCCTTGTTGAACAAATGACAACCAATTCCAAGGGAGCACATGGAAGACCCTCAGTAACTATTGTCTAAGAGAAGGACAACGGAATTCCTGCCCTTCAGATATGCTTGGTCTGCAAGTCAGTAGCTGGGCGGCGTCTAGAACGCTGGTCCCTGACCTCTGATCAGTACACAGTGGTGATTCTGAGTTGCCTTCACCCTCCACCAGTCCTTTCAAATTACCCATCATGATACCCACCCTGAACTGCTCCCTTCCCCCCCAAAACTTTCCAGGATCCTTTTCCCAGTGAAGTCCCTGCCTCTGTCATTAGTGGGTGTCTTTTTTTTTTTAACTCCAAGATGAGGATTGGGATTAAGAAGGGTGTCAGGGAAGGACCTAGCCTCCCAGCCAGCCATCCATAACTGACTCACTGTGTGGCCCTGGGTGAGTGACTTCCTTTATCTGAGCCTCGGTTTCTTCATGTAGAGCAGCGGTTCTCAACCTGTGGGTCGCGACCCCTTTGGCGGTCGAACGACCCTTTCACAGGGGTCGCCTAAGACCATCCTGCCTATCAGATATTTACATGACGATTCATCACGGTAGCAACATGACAGTGATGAAGTAGCAACGAAAATAATTTTATGGTTGGGTCACAACATGAGGAACTGTATGTAAAGGGCCAGAAGGTTGAGAACCACTGATGTAGAGAATGCCATGAGGCATCTAGGAGATACTGGTTTGCAAGGCCTGCAGAATGAAATTTATTTTTTTAAAATAAGAGGAAAACCTAAAGAGGAGGCGGAGGAATTACTCAGGCCCTGGCAAGGCGGGTGCTGGGCCATGTGATTCACAGCAGCATGAGGCGTGAGAGGCCCGCCTCCACTGCCCAGCCGGCTCAGGGGTAGGCACAAGTGACTTGCTTCTCTTTGCATAGTACTCGCCTATAATTGGCCCAGAGAGGACAGGGTTGGTAGTTGTCAGGGGAGTGTGTGTGTGTGTGTGTGTGTGAGAAAAGGGGGGGTGGAGAGTCCTGAGCTTCAATTAAAGCGTTGAAACATTTTAGTCCACATGTTAAGACTTCTGTGTGCCCTTCTGTGTGCCTGTCAACTTCCTCAGACGGCTGAGGCCTTTATTGAATCGCCATCCTTAGGACCCAGTGGCCCATTCTGGGCAGAGGGGCTTTTAAAAAATATTTGTATCATCCATGTGAAGAGGCTTGAATTGCTTCGAAGTGCTTTCTCTTTTAGTTATCCTGGTTCCTGGTAGGGGTGGGGCCATTGTTTATGTGCCCATTTCCCAGATTGATAAAACCTACAGCCTCCCCAGTGAGATGCCAGAAAGGGCTTTGAGAGAGTCAGAGAGGAGTTCCCAGGTGTAGGATTGTTCATAGAGATTTGGGGGGAAACCTACCCTATTTCTCAGGCCTAGAATATCCTTCCAGATGCTGGGTACGGGGTGGCGCTTGGGACCTGACTCTCCCTCAGTGGAAAGAGTTGCACCTGATGATTTTTCGTGGGTAGTGCAAGGACTGAGCCAGTTGAAGGGGCAGCAAGTGGAGCTGGCTCTCTCAGATTTGGAGCCTGGGGCACCCTCAGAGACCCTAGGGCAGTGATGGTGAACCTTTTTTTAAAAAAATATATTTTGATTTTTCACAGAGAGGAGGGGAGAGGGATAGAGAGTCAGAAACATCAATGAGAGAAACATCGACCAGCTGCCTCCTGCACACTCCCTACTGAGGATGTGCCCGCAACCAAGGCACATGCCCTTGACCGGAATCGAACCTGGGATCCCCTCAGTTTGCAGGCCGACGCTCTATCCACTGAGCCAAACCAGCCAGGGTGATGGTGAACCTTTTGAGCTCGGCGTGTCAGCATTTTGAAAAACCCTAACTTAACTCTGGTGCCGTGTCACATATAGAAATTTTTTGATATTTGCAACCATAGTAAAACAAAGATTTATATTTTGATATTTATTTTATATATTTAAATGCCATTTAACGAAGAAAAAATCAACCAAAAAAATGAGTTCGCGTGTCACCTCTGACACGCGTGTCATAGGTTCGCCATCACTGCCCTAGGACTTAGGATTGGAACTGGAAAGGCTCTAGCTACATTTCCTGGGTTTCCCAAACTGGGTGAGCGTCAGAATCTCTTGTGGACTTTGAAAAAATAAATGTTTCCCAGACTCCACCCCAGAGCTCCAGAATCCTGGGGTTGCAACTCAGGAATATATTTTCAAAACTCCCTCAAGTGATTCTGATACACAGCCTAGACTAGGAACCACTGGGCAAGCCCATTTCCCAGTTGGAGCAGTGGAGGCCCAGGGAGGCAGTTTACCCATGGTCCTACAGGGAGTCAGCATCATTAGGACCAGGAGAATGCACCGGGCTCCCCTCTGAGGTCTTCTCCCTGGGGCCTCTGTGGGCCTCCCTCACTCCTCCCAACCCCAAAAGAAGGCATGAACCCTGGCCGGTGGGACTGAGTTAGTTGAGTATCATCCTGTGCACCAAAAGGTCACCGGTTTGATTCTAGGTCAAAACACATGCCCAGGTTGTGGGTTCAATCCCTGGTCAGGGTGCATACCAGAGGCAACCGTCCATGATCAATGTTTCTCACATGGATGTTTTTTTCTCTCTCTCTCTGCCCCCCTCTCTCTTTCAAAATCAATAAAAACATATTTTCAATAAAAGGAGGTATAAGATCTAAGC